GGACTCATTAAGCCTCCACAATCATGTGAGGCAATTCCTTAAAATAAATCTTTTTCTCATATTCTCATGTATATACACACATCCTATTGGTCCTATTTCTCTGGAGAACACTGACCAATACACATACTAGCTAATTCCATTTATATTACATTCTTTAAATGAAAAAATTATTGGAATGGAGGAAAGATTAGTGGTTGCCACAGTTTGGGAGTCAGTAAGGGTGAGAGGGAAATAGGTGTGGCCATACAAAGGCAACATGAGGAATCCTTGTGGCAATGGGAATGTTCTGTATCTTTACTACCAATGTGAATATCCTGTGATATTATACTGTAGTTTTACAAGATGTTACATTGGGGGAAACTGGGAAAAGGGTATATTGGGAATTCTGTATTATTTCTTACAACTACATGTGAAACTACAATTATTTGAAAAAGTTTAACTTTGAAAAAGTAAAACAAAATATATCTGTTTTGATTATTTTATTGCAACCCTCCTTGAGGTCTAGGAGGTGAACTTAGATGATCACTCAGATGAATAAACAATCCCCCAGCACCTGTAGCATTAAATAGCATTACATCATCCCAATTTAACAAGCCAGAAACCTATCAGCCATCCTGAGTTTTTCCTCTCCCAAAACAATTAAGAAAAAGTCCAGCTTCATTGCCAAAATATATCTTGAATTTTTTACTTCTCCTTCCCTGCTACCACCATTATTTTGGTGGTCAACAGCAAGTATGAACTGTTGTAAGAGCCTTGCAATTAATTGTGTCTCTCCTCTTTCACGGGTACCCCATCCAATCCACCCCTCACTCAACAGCATGAGTAATCTTAAAACATATAATGGATCATATCCCTGCCATGCTTAATCCCTTCCAGTGAGTTCCCATTGCCCTTGGCATGAATCCAAGCTCATTCTCATGGCTTTCAAAGCCCTGCCTGAGCACAGCTGCTGTCTATTTCCCCAGCAGTATCCCTTGCCACTTCCTCTTGCTCCCTTGCTTTAACCAAACTTCTCTTATTCTTCAACCTAAGATTTTTCCTCTCTCAAGTTTGGCACACACTTTCCCCCTCCACCCCGCCTGCCCATTCTTCAGGTATCAAGGAAAAAAACATCTCTTCAAAGAACATGTTTCTGAACTCGTTTTTTCTAAAGTGGGCGCCCCCTGTGTCCTCTTCCTCAGTACTCATTTTGTTTCTTTTATAGAATGTAAGCCCCATGAGAGCAGAGACCTGTCTGTTCCATTCCCTGTTATAACTGGTGCCTAGCAAAATGCAGGGTAAATACTGCATTTATTGAACGTTAAATCAATAAATGTCCAATGCCAGCCTCAGACTCCTCCAACCCCACTGCAAGAAAGCACGTGGCAACTCTTCTTGAACTTCCTTCATTTATTAGACAAATACTTATTTAGTGTACCAGCCACTCTCACAGGTGCTGGAAATAACAAAACGGGCAAGGTCTCTGCATTCATGGGACTTAGGCATGGTGGGGAAAATGGAACACAATGAATTATAGACAAGTAAATAATAAAATAATAAATTTTAATTAAAATAATTTTAATATTTAAACAATTAAATATTTTAATTATTACTATAACAACTAATATGTTATAGATAACAATTATTATATTGTTATAATTATTATTCATTAACTTATTTAAATGTTTAATGTTTTAATTATAAAATATTAGTAAGTAAAATTTCAAGCATAAGTGCTATGAAGAAAATAAAGCAGAGTAACAAGACTGAGAATGAGTTGGAAGGGGTAGGTGGTGTCCACCTCAAGAAGCCTGGCTAGAGAGTCTGAGCTGTCATCTGAATGCAGAAGTGCCAGGCCCCACATACAAATCTGGAGCAGACAGCTCTAGGCAGAGGCCCATGGAGTACAAAGGTGCTGAGCCTGCAACACATTAAACAAGTCTGAGGCCAGTGTGGCTGAGCAGAAAAGGAGAGGAGTAAGAGAGAAGGTCTCAGCATCAAGGAATGAACGCTACACCAAATTCACCTCTCCTGCCACAGTAAAAAATGTGGGTTTCCTTCTAAGGGTGACTGGGAAGCCTCTGGATACTTTTAAGCTAAGAGGGTTATGGTCCGATTTAATTTTTAAATCATTGTTGGTTGTTCAGTCAGAAGGGACTGTAGGGTAAGAATGGGGACAGGGAGGCCAGGTAGTCACAGTCAGGAGAGATGCTGGTGGCTTGGACCAGAGAGTAACTAGAGAGGGGGAGAAGAGGCAAGCTACAATAAGGACAAATCTGACTCAGCAATCTTAAAATACACTGGACTTCCTCAGGGACAGGGAGTTTCCAGTACTCCAGAACTTCCAGTTCCCAGCGCTCCTAGCTTGGCCCAGTTTGAACTTAACTTGATTCGGTTCCCCAGAGATATCTTTGCATTACCCGTACCCGCCCCAATGAAAGAGGAATGCAGCATGCTCTCTCTTCGCTTTAATAGAAATAAGCTAAAGTCTTGTGTTACTGAAAGGAAGATAAATAATGAAAAAAGAAGAGGCTCTTTTCTATACTTGGAAACTCTCACCACCTAGAGCTATTGGTATCTATTACGAAGATTAAATTAATCACGATGTAATCAAAATCTGACCTAATGGGTTTAAAGTGCGAAGCCTAAAGAACAACCACACAGAACTGGTTTCACCCCACCCAGCCGGGATCTCTTGGTGATTATGGGCACTGAAGCACCTCTCTGAGCGGCCCCCAGCCCGAGAGCAAAACACAAAAAGCCTGACTTTATCACAGCCAGGGAAACACGAATATACCTCCGCCCATCGGACCCGCAGCTCCTCTGGTGGGCACTTGGGCAAACTCTCCTGAGAGGCCGAAATGGAATAACAGTCCTTCCAGGGCTAAAATCCACCAAGGCAATCACTGTAGCTGACTCCCTCCACCCCCACCCCGGAGATAGTTTCAGCCCATCCCTAAATGGTGCAGAGTGTATTCATTTCTGAGCAAGAGCCTAACAAGAGAGGTGCTGGCTAAACCAGAGGAAACTGGTCTGGGTGGCTCAAGGTCCCGCGTCTGTCCTGGTTAGCGAGAGCGCTCTCCCAGTGAAGAGGAGGACAGCTCCCTGCACGCACGCGCAGCTCCGACCCGGCAGGAAAAGTTAAAGGCTCACCTGAAACCAAGCCGCATTCAAGCCCATTTCTGTCTCTTAAAAGGAAGATTCAAAAAAAAAAAAAAAAGGTTGGTAAAAATCAGAAGGTAACTCATTTTTCACAGGCGCCCAAAGACTTTTTTTCAGTGTCAGTGGATAGCAGTCCTCCCAGGGCTAGGATTGTCTGTCCCTGGAAAATGATTGCTAAATTCTCTCCTGATTGTGGACGCTCTGATAAGTGGGAGTGCGCATCACCAGCCCAAACTGGTGCAGAAAGCCAGGCGCTGGTTATGCACTAACGTCAGTGTGAGCTAACTGGGCTAACTCCCCGAAGCTTAGCTCTACAACGGAGAATGCCTTGCGTTGTGATGACCGGGTTAGTCCATGTAAAATGCAGAGAGCGCCTGGCAACAAGCAACAACTCAATAAAAATTAACTATCACTAATAGTATTTGTTAGTGTTTTTCTACAAAAAAACAAAATTGTATTGAGTGTTTGTGATTCTGTTTGTCTGTTCTTATACATTGTGAACTAAGTGTCTTGTTTATCTCATGCATTTCAGAGCCTGGGACTGTGCTGGTCTCAAGTTTGTGGTTTGAGCTGAATTATTTATTCAGTTGGGTTGCCCCACAGAGGTAATAGAAATAAAAGGGTGGTGGTGAAATAAAAGACACATGAAATCAGAGTCTCCCTTACCTCTTCACTTTGTCACTGCTTCTTCATAACATCCTGGTTTAGGGGACTGTCTGAGATCTCCTCTGCTGGGAACTGGTTCTGGCTGAGCCTCAGTGGAACCAAGTGACAATAGTTGCCACACACAGTTCAAGCTCAGCAAATTTTGATACTATCTGGGCTTCCACAGGGACTGAACATTATAGAGGAGACACAGAAGGGTACAGACTCGGGGTACCTGGGTGGCTCAGTCAGTTAAGCCTCTGCCTTTGGCTCAGGTCATGATCCCAGAGACCTGGGATCTAGCCCCACATCCACACATCCGGCTCCCGGCTCAGTGGAGAATCTCCTTTCCCTCTCTCTCTGCCCCTCCCCCCAGCTCAGGCTCTCTCTTGCTTGCTCTCTCTTAAAAAAATAAATAAAATCTTTAAAAAAAAGAAGAAGAAGGGTACAGACTCAAGCCAAATGAGCAGATTTATTTGAGAACTCTACACTCCAACAAGCACCTCTAGACATACACCAAACCAATAATAATTGCAAAAACAATAACCTACATTTTGCTGAGCACTTATTATGCACTAGGCTAACCACTTTCCTATCACATATGATCCATATAGCAAAACAAAGTGTGTTCTGTTTTCATTTTATTCAGTGAAAAACTAAGGCACAGAAAAGTCACTGGGAGCCAACTGCTTAAGGTAACACCGTCAGTAAATTAAGATTCAAACCGAAGTTCATAGTTCTCAAAAGCTCATTCAGGTAAACCACTCAAGCCTACAGTGGCCTCTGGCCAAACAGCCCAGCTCTAAAGCACAAACACCACAGTTCTGGTTCTCTGTAGGGCAGAGTGCAGCATGCCTCCCATGTCCCTCGTCTTTGTCATCCCCACAACATGAAATATCAACCCAGCATCTCATCTCTACAAAAGACCCCAAAGAATTCTTTTTTCACCTGTTCCTGGTTACTGGTGTACTTAACGTGTTAAAGTGTGACCATCTCTGGTTTGTGACTTACGCCTGAGGGACCTGCTCCCATTTTCTTTTGCTGGTGCACAAGTTTGAAGTCACAAGTCACTAAGGCAAAGCATTTATTGATTAGATTCTCCTCAATATTCAGCCTCTGCTGAAATCAGATTTTAAAGGTGATGGCCAGGCTGCTTCGTTGCCTTGCTCCTCCTCCTCTAATGTATAACTAGTAGAAAGCTGGAGAAAGGCTGGCCAGCTGCATGTGCCACACTCACAACAGGACTTGGAATTAAGAGGAGGACTCTCAACCGATAAAATGACAGAAGATAAGGTAAAGTAGCATTATGTTCATTTTAAATCGGCTTGAGGAAATGAATAGGGGGATTTGTTCAAGTCAGTGACCATAGGGAGGATTTGGGGGATGTTGGGTGTAGCTACCACAGGTTGAAGCTACTTCTCTTGGCCAACTGATAGTTCATTTAGCTGCAAAAATATGTATCATATTCAGTATTTTATATATCTATTCAGAATTGTAAGGATATTTTCTCTGTTTTCTGAGCAGTCTGTGTAACTTTCTCAAGTGATTCTGCAAAACCATATTACTGAAGGAATGTGCAAAAAAAGGGTAGATTAACCTGAATCTAACTAATCATGAAAATTGGTCTGAAATTTTCAAAAATGACAATGAATGAAAAACAAGAGGCAGAAGGACTGTTCTAGACAAAAGGAGACTAAGAACTGACAACCAAGTTAGATCCTGGAAAGAAGAAAACAGCTGTAAGGGACAATATGGGGACAGTTGGGGAAATTTTGAAAATGGGCTGTTATATTAGATAATATTAGTATATCTATTACATTCTTGGATATGATGATGGTATTGTAATTATGTAGGAGAATGTCTTCGTTCTTAGTGAGTACATTCTAAAGTATTTAGGAATGAAGTGACACTAATATCTGCAACTGATTTTCAAATGATTCCAACCACACTACATACATACCTGTCCATGCACACACATACACAGTGAAAGTTAAACAAATGTAAATGCTAACCATCCTGAACACAGGTTATGGGATGTTCACTGTCCTATTTTTTCAACTTCTCTATAGATAGGATACTTTCCAAAATAAAAACTTAAAAAAGGTCATAGTGCTGTTGTTCTCTTACAAGTTTTCCCCAACCAAACACACCCACCCCTTCACACAATCACACAAGTAGGTAAATCTGTAGCCCTGTTAGACTAGGATATCTAAAGTTCTGGCCTGTTGTAACTTAACTCTGCTGAGCATTTCTTCGAGTAAGTGACAAGTCTAGGAGCACAGATTTTGCGGTTAGCCAGGCTTGATTTGGAGTGTGATGATGCTACTTACCTGCTGTGAGACCAAAGTTAAGTTATTTAACTGAGCTGAGACCTGAGCTTATTTTGAAATAAGAACATATGGGGATATAATAAGAGGATATAAGATATACAGGGATTCTAATAGTTCGTTATTGTCTGGGAGTATTTAAATGAGCTAATATTTGAGAGATGGATGATAAACATTTTAATGTTAATAGTTACGCATTTACATGATATATTTTAAAAATAACTAGGACTTCATGATTTCCTATTATAGCCCAGGATAAAGCTAAAGTAGTCAGCATTTTAAAGGTGATATAAAGACAAATATTAAGTTAATAACTATACACATAGTATGTAGATTTGGCAAAAATAATAAAGGTAGTGTTCAAATAACTAAAGTTTATAAGAGACTGCAAAAGGGAAGGTAATATGCTTACCACCATGTCTGACACATAGTAAATGCTCAAGCTTCATTTTGAACATCACTAAATTCCCTTTACAAATTGTTGTAAGACTTTTCTTGAGAACCAAGGAACTGCCTAATAATGGAACCCAGAAATAATGAGAACTGATGTAAAGCACAATGTTTCAGCTTTGTAAATCTGCCCAGACTTTGAAAGAAGTGGGATAAGCACGGAACTGAGGGTTAGGAGACCTGAGTTCTCACACTGAATATACCCAATAAGGTACTGTCTAACTCAGACAAAGGACCTGAATTCAGTTTCTTCAAGTGGAAAATGAAGAAATTAGACTAGAATCCTCTGTTCTCTAAGGTCCCTTTCAACATGAAAATTCTATGGCTTGAGAGGCCCCTGGAGTTTTCCAAAGTTGGGTGCAAGATCACCTTTAGGTTGGCATTTGGAGCCATGCAGTTTGGAGGAAAGACATCAGCTTCTCCTCCCTACCAGTCAGTCTGTAGCTGCTGAAAATCTGCGTTTTTGCTTAGAAATGGGAGTTTAAGAACACCAGCTCTGGGTTCAAATGCTAGAATATCTGTTACTTACTAGCTGTATGGTATTGAGCATATCACTTAATCTTCTATAAGCCCTGGTTTCCTCACCTGTAAAATGGGGATAATTTCTTTTACATTGTAGTATTGTTGTGAAGATTATTGGTGACATATGAAAAGTTGACAGGTGGTTGGTTGACAAGAGAGATAAATGATATGCTAATGTGATTAAAGATGCAATTGTTTTATAGCCCTTTCATTATTTATAGGAAGACCACATTAGTATCTTATTTAATCTTTATGATATCCATTTTTTGGCAAAGAAGCAGGTTCAGGGATATTAAGGGCCTAGCTGGTAGTCTTCTAGGTTTTCTGAATTCCAAGTCTATTTGTTTTTTCTAACAAACCCCATCTAATTTCTAAGCCACAAAATAAATACCACATTTTGTTTTATGTTAGGGTTCAGCCACTTGCCCATTCTGTGTACTCCCACATTTATCCTGTGGCATATCTTTCATTGGATGTGGAACCTAGTTTCTCTAACTTAAAATTGTTAAGCTCTAAATGGGGGTAGTCTTTCTAAGAGTCAGGCTTAATATCTTGTTGCCTATGAAGAGGTGAGAGACAAAGCTTGAAGATCTTCAGCCACTTTGTAGGTATATGGCTTTGGACAAGTTCCTTACCCTTTGTGTACTGGTTTTTTCCATATGTGACATGATAATAATAATTACTACCTACAGAGTTGTTGAAAGAGCAGAGCCTGGACAAAGTAAGATCCTAAGTTCTCACTGTTTTCATTAGCTCCTATGTACCTATCCTCAGTCAAACTCTTGGACACTAGATTAATGGATAGGATTGATGGGCTAATTCAGACTTAACAGTCTTCAGAAATTTCCCTCCTCATAAACAAAACTTTTCTGTCCAAGCCTAGTACCAAAATATATAGAAGATTGAATATAAATGTTATCTCTTTCATTTCACTACAGTAAAGAAAAGATGGAAACCAAAGAGCAGAGAGGGAAATTAAACCTAAAAGTAAAAGAAAAAAAGAAACAAAGAAACAAAGAAAAAGAGAAAAAGAAAGAAGGAAGGAAGGAAAGAAGGAATCAAAGTTTCAGAGACTTCTATATTTGGGATTATCACTTTAGTTGGGAATTCAAGTGACCTTCTTAAAATTGATAACATTGTTCCTTACCTGACCAAGTAGGTAAAATTTCTATCTTAGGAAGTTAAAGTGGGGAAACTGCAGCTCTGCCCCCTCAAGATGGCAAGACCAAAGCCAACTCTGAAAAAAGAAGCCAGGAAGACCAGAGGACAAGGACTTTAAGGACACTCTAAGATTTCTAAACATCTAAAACTTCTATTTCCTTCACAGTTCCTTTTTTCTGTTACTCCTATAACATGAGAAATTGTTCTTAGAGGCAGCCCCAGAATTGCTATAGTAATGACTTAGAACAATTTGATTAGAAAGTAATGAGACAGGAGCTCCAGAGAACTTAAGTCTTTGAAAATTAAATTTCATTTTTATCAAAGTAATGTGGAGCAGCTAACACTGTTGTGACTTAGAGTGTGTATTTGGAGTGGCAGGGGAGAGCCAATGGAGATTATGGGGAACCAAATCTGCTACAGCCACCACCTTCACCCCTAACTTCCATTTCCATAGCACCCCTGCTCACCATTGGCATGGTGACTAGTTGGATTGTTAAAATAAGAAGAAAGGAACTATATGATTGCCTGGTGGGGGCAGGAGAAGAGAGCCAGTAGAGAGCGGAAGCCCAGGGATGGAGTGGGAAGGGCAGTCACTAAGACACCAAGTGCTTGGACATTCTGCTACAGGAAGAAAAGGAGACACAGGGATGAAACTGGCCCTGGGCTTGGTGGTGGGAAGGCCATGAGGTTCTTCTTTAGCTGAGCTACAGAGGAGCAGTTGAGTAGCTTTTTCCCTTTAGTATTTTTGTACAGAAATGTCACAAAAGTTTTCTGTGGATAGATGAGGAAGGAGGGGATTTGTGTGGTGGGTAGTGGGAAAATGCACTTGAAACTGGTGGGTGTTGGTGAGTTGGCTTCAGCATCACACTTGGCAAATTCTATGAATATGTGTGCTCTTAGTTTTTTTTTTATTTAGAAAGATTATGATCCTAGATTTTTAGATGTGCTTGACTTTTGAATGTCTGTTTCTGACCAATGAGAAATTCAAAATAACCAATTAGTTAAAAGCATAGGATCTGAATTTAAGTCATTATTGCACAAGTTACTGACTGTGAGACTGTAACCTAGTCTAGTTATCTATAAAATAGGGATACTGATAGTGCTGTCATGAGAAGTGTCCATTACTTGGTCTCCAGGATGTGTAAATATGTTACCCTAAAAGGCAAAAAGGACTTTACAAATGTCATTAAGATTATGGACCTTGAGATAGGAAGATTAACCTGGATTATCCAGATAGGCCAAATCTAATCTCATAACTTCTTCAATGGGAAGAACTTTTCCGGCTATAGTCAGGATCAGAGAGATGCAATGTGAGGACCTGACTGGCCCATTTCTGGCTGTGAAGATAGAGAAAGGACACCAACCAAGGAATGTGGTGGCCTCTAAAGCTGGGAATGGCCCTCACTTTACAGCCAGCACAAAAACACAGATCCTGGTCCTACAGCCATGAGGAACAGAATTCTACCATCAACCCAAATTTTCCCCAACAGCCTTCAGAAAGGAACACAGCCTGCCAACATCTTAATTTTAGTCGTACCAGACTTCTGATGTACAAGAACTGTAAGATAACAAACTTGTGTTATTTGTTATAGCTGCAAGAGAAAACTGATACAGTTAAAAGAGACAATCACATACAGCAAAAAATAGGCAGGCAGTAGGCAGAAATATTCAGTATTAGGCCTTGAAGTTGTGTTTGCATTGCACCTAATATCAAACTGTCTAGATTGTAGTGACGGAGACTATCAGGGAAGTGGGTGGAAGCCTTGTCAAGGTGCCCTCTGGTCTCCTCATGGATGATGATGGTTACTTCCTACAAATAATATGAAAGGATAAAATTCTCTGTCCCTGGAAACAGCTGAAGGGGAAAAAGGATTTGAGGAGAAACCACCAAGTAAATGGAACCCATTTTAGCTTTGGTTGCCTGAGGCACTAGGTATTAGATATCTAATTACATATTAAAGGATAATTCAAAATCTCTGGTAATCCCATACCATGTAGCATATTGTGTGTGTGTATGTGCACACACACAAACCTGTGCACACAGGTACATTTTACAGTTAACATACTTTGAATTTATTTGTAATTATTTTATTATGTATATGCATATATGATTTATATCTCAATATATATAATGTATACTATATGATATATATATACTTCTTTCAGGATATATATAGATATAGGATATATATGCTTCTTTTAGGATAATATAATATTATCATATCTTTGGAGAAAGTTTTAAGTCCTTTCAGGAAGGAAGTTGCTGGGAAGAAAAGCCTACAGAGGTGCCACCTGAAATTAATTCTGATTTAGTGGAAAGAGACAGAACAAACCTACAGATTCCCAATTCTCACCACAGAAATTCCAATCCAATAGTAGGTCTGGGGTGAATCCCAGGAAGCTACACCTGTAACAAGCTCTCCAATGAGGGTCTGGTTTTAGAACCCCAAGATTCCGTAACTTCAAGGCTCTCAGGCTGGTTCTGTGATAATACTTTGTTGATGATGACACTGAAATTTCTAATCTCTGGCTTTATTAGGTAATGAGAGGACTTGGTTAATAAGCTATTTTTCATGCTAGAGTAGGGATTTACAATCATCCCCCTACTTAGAGAAAAACTGAAGATCCTACAGGAAAAGTGGTTTGGGTCATATACTCCCTAAACATCAGAGTGGGAACTAGAATTCATGTTGATATGACTCGTTCATTTGTTCAGGGAAGTTTCTACAATATCCCATGTTATTTATTTAAACATTTAAATTATGTAATTATACAGGAAATTATTTCCTTATAAAATGTCTGATAATATAAATAAAAGAAAGAATACTCGTTTATCCCCCTTCTCTAGTCTCACATTCTTCCTCAGTGGTCATCCTTTTGTTATCTGTTCTTCAAGAAAATATTCTGTGACTTACATACAACATGCGCAAATCAAAGAATGCTCAAGTTTAAGCCTTTTAAAAAATTAATGAGATTACACAGCTTCCTTTATCACTTAACAGTAAGTCAGTACAAAATGATCACATTACTCTAGCTTCAGCACAGCATGTTGTATGTATCATGATGTATTTGAATCTATCTGGCCATTTTCCATTGAATGATATTTTGGTTCTTTTACAATTTTTGCTATCACACACACACAGACACACACACACACACAATGCTGCATCAAACATCCTGATATGAGATTCTATATGTATGATATGATTTCTCTAAGATGGTTAGACATGTAACTATGAGTTGAAGGGAATGAATGTTCTGTCCCTTTCTACACTGAGTTTTGTAGTTACATGGAGTTGGAAAGAAAATAACATCCTTCAATCCATAACTCTAGATTCAACTAGTTGCAAATCTTGGAAATTATCCTTACCTGGATATTGATGTGGTCATGATAAAGCCTGGCTGATGCCTCTTGTATGAGTTTTGAGGTGCTTTTGTACCATAACAATGCCCAGGAGAACTCCCTCTCTTTTTGTTACTGGTGTTTTTTTTACCTCTCCAAATGATATAAATTGACTGTTTTTATCATGGTGGTTTCCTTTAGTCAGCAGAAATTCTAGTCTTCAGACCTGATTTTAAATCTTAAATATATGCATGGAAAAGGATGTTTCATTCCTCTCTTGGAAGAAATTGTCCCAAACTTTTCTCAGCTTTAGCAGTGTAGGGCCCTTGATGAATGGCTCTTGCATTCTCGTATGAATGAAGTTGGGAGCATAGGGCACACTGTGAATGAGTATCAAGGAGCAAGAACCAGCCTATAGAGCCTGTCAGAAGTCCAAGCTGCACACTGACACGATGGTAGGTAACTGAAGTTGCCTTGTGTTTCCCAGCCCTGTGTTTCATTCCCCACAGATCACCGGGACCTTGGTTTTCACTGTCTTCACTGCTGCACTGGGTTCCTTCCAGTTTGGATATGACATCGGTGTGATCAATGCACCTCAAGAGGCAAGTGACACATGTACAATTCAAATCTCTTATTGGCAATTTCTGTAAGTGACTGAAAGATCTGTGTTCCTCATACACAGAGATAAAGTGTGCCCACATGGGGAACATAGGGTAATCCCAGCATTCTGTCAGGCACCACGTGCATGGTTTCAAAGCTGATAACTTGACTTTGGCTCCTCAGTAACCCTCACAAAGAAAGGGCAATAAACAATTCTTGATCTCTGACTCTGCTGTTCTCTGAGCTCATAGAAAACTCCAGCCAGAATACCACGTGCCTACAGATGTTGTTTTAAAAAACTTAAGAGCTTATTGCAACCTTTATTCAGAGCTCCCAGCCATGTGTGAGTGAAAAAATGAATGACAAATGCTGGGGAATAAGAGGAAGCAATAGAAGGATTTATTTCATTTTATGCACAAGCTTTTACTGGGCACCAACTCACTGTGCATTAGGTGCTTTAACATATGTTCTCCCTGGTCTAACCTCCAAAAACCTTATTATGCCCAATCACAGGCCAGATGAAAGACTTTAGGAGCCCTAACACTAAGAAGGTCCTATCCTTCCCCCTAATTCTGTCCCTCCTAGCTAATCCAAAGTAAAATGATATATAACTGGTAAGTAATAGTCTGGAAGTCCTACAAAATTTGGGTTTCTCCACGATAACTATTTGGATGGGTGTTTTTAAAAATAATATTGAATAATTTCTATCATTTGTCTCATTTTGTGCAACCCTACTCTGGTATACAATGAATAAACAGGAGTGGGATGTCATTTTTCTCAGCTCCCACAGCCTGTAAGTGGGGCAACCAAGACTTCATTCCCTTTGGTCTAATTAAGGCTGTCAGGTCATTTAGGGCAGGATTGTCTTCTTCCTCTTCCTGTCACCAGTGCCAAGCACAATGATTAGCATAAAGGTGTTAAATAAAGTGGTTAGTTAGAAAAGAGAGGAAGAGAGGAGAGAAGCCGGGGGGAGCAGTATAAAATGAAGGTCCAAGCATTTGTTGGGTGCCTTCTATGAATACATCATATTTCACCTTCTTCCCTTACAATGTTGCACTCCAAGGAAAATGTGTACTGACCACAGGCTATCACCTGAAAGGGTTGCTCCTTGGGCCAGAAGATGTGCTTTGGTTGGGTGCCACATATTATCATGAGTGTGGTGGTCTTGCTGTAGTTGAGAGATTTAGATAACAATGCTGGGGGTCACCACTTTTTTCTGTGGGTGATGACAACACGTGCCAATTTAGCAGCCTTTTTGAAATTTGGTTCAGCATCACCATAATTTAGAATCAGTAGAGTCTCTTTTTGTGGAAGACCTTTTCACATCCTATTTAAACCATCTTCTCCAGGGAAGGAGAGAGAAAATTAGGCTAAGGTTTCCCTTCCTTCAATCCAAGTCCTAGAGCCAGACTTGAAAATAGGGATCCCCCACTGGCATTGGGCTTCGTGTCCTCTCTAGAGCCCCTCTTTCTGTTTAACAAGCTGCTTAAACATCAATATAGAAGCATAGATGTTCAGCTTCATTTGTGTTTGTTAGTGGAATGACACGTGGCATTAAGGGTATTTTAAAATCACACTTTTTTATGATTATAAAAACTACACATACCTGTTACAGAAAGTATTTGGAACAAATCACCTATACTAATTCTACCACATAGAGCAAACAGCTGAGAACATTTCAGATAGTTCCTTCTAGCCTTTTTTCTATGCATATTATCCATGTAAAATGGTCTGCTAATGAGATAAAATGTCTTGGTCAGACTTCTTTTATCATAAGAGGATATCATTCCCTCCTTCACTCAGCTGATTTTACCACATAGGGCCTTGCCCATGACTGACAACCTAGAGCAGCTTCATTCCAGGTCCTTGTCAGAGGTCCTCCCACACCACTGAACAGTGACGAAATCAGCACTGAGGGGAAGGACAAGGAAAGAATCCCGAAGGCTGTGCCTTTACTCAATTATACTTTGGTAGAATCTTTGCCTCTTCTGAAACACAGGATAAACTATGGCTCTGTGAAATTTAATTTTGAGTTCTGTTCATTCTATTACATACTGAAATCTGTGAGGACACAGAGGAAGAAACTCCTTCAGGTATCAATCCCTTCTGAGTTATTTTTATCTTTGAAACCCATCAATATACATGATTGTTTTCTTCTCTCTGCACTGGCTTCTAGGAAGTTTACTGGTAAATTTATAGGATATTTCGGGCACCTGGATGGCTCAGATGGTTGGGCATCTGCCTTTGGCTCGGGTCGTGATCCCAGAGTCCTGGGATCGAGTCCCGCATCAGGCTCCCTGCTCCTTGGGAGCCTGCTTCTCCCTCTGTCTCTCTCTCTCTCTGTCTCTCATGAATAAATAAATAAAATCTTTTAAAAAATATAGCATATTTCTAGCAAGGATATAGCACCTAGGGTTTATATTTTGTATACTAACTTTATTTTTGGCTTCATCTTATCTTTCCCAATCTTTTTTCTTACAGCCATTTTTATGCTTCTATTAGAAGAATATTTACATAAATCAATTTAAACCCTGCTGTGCAGAGGTAATATGGTGTGAAAATGTATCTTTTTGTCTGCAGAATATTTTCAATTTGAATAGATGCCTGCACTTAAAACTTGAAGAATTTTACGTAAAAACCCAGATTTCTGGCTTCTTTTTTAAAAATTAAAGGTCACGCAATACTAGTCTCACATTTGCTGCTTCCTTCTTTAGGTGGGGCAAATGCTCTCCAGTGCTATAATCTTGCCCATTTGCTCTTATATTCTCAATAGTAGAGACAGTATTTCAGTCCTCTAGTTATCAAGGTTCTCCTTCACTTATTTGTTCCTGCCTAGTTCCCGTGGGCACTGGAATTTGCAACCTCTGTTTTACAGGATATGGTCAACTGTAAGTAAATCTGTGTTTGTCTGTATATAATACACATAATTGGGATGACCCTTTTAAACACCTAACAAACATTCTAAAGGAAAAACAAACAAAAGGTATATAGAATATTTGAAATGTTGGAGCTATTTTTCTTTATTTTATTTCCTCAGGTAATAATATCCCATTATGAATACGTTTTGGGTATTCCACTGAATGACCGAAAAGCTATCAACAACTATACTATCAACAGTACAAAGGAACTGCCCACAGTCCCATACCTAGGAGATTCAATAACAACACCTTTGGTGGAGGAAGAGACTACAGCATCTACTAGCCTCGTCACCATGCTCTGGTCCTTGTCTGTGTCTAGCTTTGCAGTTGGTGGAATGATTGCATCATTCTTTGGCGGGTGGCTAGGGGATCGGCTTGGAAGGTAGGCAAGTTTCATAAATAAGCATAAACATGGAAACTTTAGTATTTGGGGTTTCTAAAACTTTGTTTAGAAAGAAATCCTCTTTCCTTTTGTGGAATAGTTTCAGAGTTGTTCTTTTCAATTCATGAACCTATGAATTAGGTTTTAGAACAAATAATGGAGAAAGCTGTTGCCCTAGCCTGCTTAATCATGGAGGCATTTATAGCAAAAGTGGGTTTGGTGTGTATTTCCACAGAACTGATTTGATTCTCTAAATTTGTTAGTTTTAAAACATATTGGGGTGCCTGGGTGACTCAGTCAGTTGGGTGTCTGACTCTTGATTTTGGCTCGGGTCATGATCTCAGGGTCCTGAGATCCAGCCCCCACCCCCAAATCAGGCTCAGTGGTCAGTGGGGAGTCTGCTGGAGATATTCTCCCTCTCCCCCTGCCCCTCCCCCTGCTCACTCTTCCTCTCTCTCTTTCTCAAATAAATCTTTAAAAAACTAAAATAAAATAAAACATGTTAAGAAACCACTATATAAATGGTTAACTCAGGAACTCAATGGCAGAGCTAAGAGTGAAATTTTTAACCAGGAAATCCATTGTTTGCTTCACCAAATCACTCCATTTCTCAGACATCCAGTTTTTCATTTCAAATTAGAATTTGGCATTTGGATCAGTCAAGTCCTAAGGTCAAATCAATATCCCTAACTCCCAATTGCCCAATATACTTGGCATGGGTTTCTAGCTGTTGCTACTGCTCTCTCAAAACCCCAACCAGAGATGAAGCAAGTAGTGTCTCCACTTCTTTACCCTGGTTTTTATCAAGTGTATTGGATTAAAAATGTCATAAAAAAAAAACTGCCTGGAACTCCTTTACACTTAAATTTCATTCACTTAGTCATGTGACATACTAAAAATTGGGATTCTACCCCCACACACAGAGAGAGGAAATAAAATCAGAAAATCGAATGGGTTTTTTTAAGACTCATTTTCTGTTTTGAGGCCACCTTTTGTTTATTAATTATCTTTTTCTCTGATGATAAAAATAAATGTGCAAATATGGAAAATTTAGAAAATGCAAAAACCTCTAAAGATGTAAATGATATGGGTAACTATTTTAGTAATTCTAGATTACAATTCATTTAGTTTTTAAATTCTTACTTTAAATTATAATTTTATCTCTCTCATTAAAATTCTGATAATTTCCTTCTCTTACACTGGAGATTTTATATAAGACTGTAAGAAGTTTTCTTAAACAATGAGTATCACTGGGGCACCTGGGTGGCTCAGTTAGTTAAGCATCTTGGCTCAGGTCATGACCCTATCAGGCTCCCTGCTCAGCAGAGAGTCTGCTTCTCCCTCTGCCCCTCACCCCGCTCTCATGCTCTCTCTCACTCTCTCTCTCTCAAATAAATAAACAAAATCTTTAAAAAAATGAGTAGCATAATAACCCAAGTTTTATTCTTGTTCTTACTTGAAAGAACAAGTAAGAGTTGTAAGTAAGAGAAAGTAAGAGAAAGAACAAGTACCTCTTCCACCCCTAAAGAGAAAATTTAAGGGGTGCCTGGCTGGCTCAATTGGTGGAGCCTGCGACTCTTGATCTTAGGATCGTGAGTTCAAGTCCCAAGTTGGGCATGGAGCTTACTTTAAAGAAAGAAAGAAAGAAAGAAAGAAAGAAAGAAAGAAAGAAAGAAAGAAAGAAAGAAAGAAAGAAAGAAAGAAAGAAAGAAAGAAAGAAAGCCCTTGTTCTCATCTCATTTAGAAATGAGATTTTGACATGTCTAGTGATGTACTCTAAAGCATTTAATTCATGTCCTCGTGATGGATACAGGATGCATACCCTCTCAAGTCTTGGAATTTAGCATCAACAATGGTCATACCCCAAAACAATGTCAAATGGTCATTTATCAAATGACTTCAGTAAACTAAAAGTCAGGCTTCTTCCAAGTATCAGTAGAAAAATGATTCTCCATAAATAGCAGCCACAAAATTAATAATTTTAACATCAGGGGTGCCTGGGTGGCTCAGTCAGTTAAGCATCTGCCTTCGGCTCAGGTCATCATCCCAGGGTCCTGGGATCGAGCCCTGCATTGGGCCCCCTGCTCCGTGGGAAGCCTACTTCTCCCTCTCCCACTCCCCCTGCTTGTGTTCCCTCTCACACTGTGTCTCTCTCTGTCAAATAAATAAATAAAATCTTTAAAAAAATAAAAAATAATAATTTTCACATCAAAATTAAGACAAAAGAGTTCAGTCTCTCCTATAAAACTATTTTCCTAGGAAGATTCATTGAGAAATGACATGATTTTCCTTATTGACCAGGTCATTGCTCCATCAATTAAAAATAAGTAAATAAAAGCTTATTTTTCCATTACTTCTTTAAAAAAAAGTCTTTCCTTATAATTGTATAATAGGCAATAAATGTCTGTGGCCACTGCTTTATAGATTTGGCTTCTCAGTCAATTTTTCCCGAAGTTGTGCACTTAAAATTTAATTACAATGACATGGTGGAGAAGACCATGGTCTGTGCAATCCACACTACTGTAAGTGAAGGAAGGTATACATAGCCTGCCTTTAAATGCATTCATTCTTTTGTATAAAAAAATGGAACTCACTAAAATCAAGCATTAACCTTTGGTTTCACACAGATCAAGCCCCAGCTCTAACATTTAATAGTTGTGTGAAAATGAGCAAGTTATTAGGTTCTCTAAGATGTTTCCCCATCCATCTACAATGTAGGAAAAAATAATACCTAACTCATGGCATTATTGTGAGAATTACATGAGAGTACAGAGGATTTATCACAATGCCTAGCACACAGTAAGCAGGCACTGAATGTAGCCTTAGTTTGATGCTGATGCTGATGCTGATGCTGATGCTGATGAAGACAATGATCATGACAGTGTTAAAGCCTATGCTAACAGGAGTATTTAGAGGAAAATTTAAAGAAATATACTTAGAAATATAGTTCTTTCTCCCTGATTCAGTGATTTCATGTATTTTTGGATTCTTTATTCTTGGCCATTTCTCATGTCTGAGCAGAAGTTAAAATCCTTTAAGTTGTACAAAGTGCTCTAGCACCCATTGATGATAAGGAAGAGGGACTTTAGAGCAATCTGGCATCAAATATACTTTCAAGCTATCTCTTTTAAGAGTTTTTCTCCCTAACAGAATATATACTACTAGCCAGCTAGTAACAATTTCTTAAGGTAAATTATTGAATTTGTTTGCCCTCTGAACTTGAGTAGAGAAAAAGCACTTGAGAGAGAAATAGCCCTGTCTTTTCCTGCTCTGCAGCTCTGAAACTGACCAGCTCTAAATCACTGTTTGCCCTCCCTTTGAGTAGTTGACATTTTCCTATGTTGGTCTTCTATTACTGCTCTAATGAGTTACCATAAACAGTGGCTGAAAACAACAGTTATTTTCTTATAGTTTGGGAGGTCAGAAGCTCAAATTCAGTTTCATTTGGCTGAAGCCAAGATGACAGCAGGGCTGGTTCCTTCTGCAGTTTCTGAAGGAAGAACCCATTTCCTTGCCCTTTTCCAGCTTCTGGTGGTCACCATATTGCTTGGTTTGTGGCCCCCCCATTCAATCTTCAAAGTACATTACTCCAATCATATTTCTGCCATTACATTATCTTCTCCTCTGCCCTCCTCTTAGAAGAATACTTATGATTCCATCACTGGGCCCACCAGGATAATCCAAGATAATCTCTTTATCTCAAAACTGTTAATTTAATCACATCTGCAAAATCCCTTTTATTATATAAGGTAATATATTCCCAGAGTCTGAGGATTAGGATGTGGACTCTTATGGGATATTATTAAGCCTATCACATACTTGTTGGGCAATCATTGCAGTATAAGACTACATAATTTTACTCTCCAGGAAAAAAAAATCTGTCTGGCATTAAAGATACTTGCTTAGAAAAAGCTCAGCTATTCAAGTTTGAAACACTGACACAGAACATAACAAGATGCTTACATTTCTTTGTGGCACAAATATTTCCACACCTGTCCATTCAGATTCTTTTACTGGCCTTATCATCATCTGTTGAACTTTAGAGAAGGTTTTTGTGCCCCACTTTCCCATTTAATAGGAATAAAAGTATCAGATATCTGCAAATGTTGTTAATTTTCACATGATTAATTTTGAAAATGATGGGTTTTTTTGCTATTGTCAGCTTTATTACATATTTTACGTTGGTTGACATTAATTCATAGGTTCTGCAAATATGATGACATGCAATGTTAAAATAAGAATAATTATAATTCTCTATGATAAAACGCTTAAAATTTAACTTTGAAAGTTCCTTACATCATCTACATCAACTAAAAACCTGCACCATTAGGAATGAAAGAAAGAAGGTGGGGGAGAAAGAAAGGAGAGGAAAGGAGGGAAGAAGGGAAGGAAGGAAGGAAGGAAGGAAGGAAGAAGGGAAAGAAGGAAGGAAGGAAGGAAGGATAAAAGAGAAGAGAAGGAAGAAAGGGGAAAGAAAGAGGAGGTAATAGGTTACAACTATAGTGTTGAATGTAGCTATCACCAATTATTACTTAAAACAAGCAACTTGTAGAAAACTTAATTAGTTAACTGTATGAAAAAGTTTCAGAAGTATTATCTTAATTCAAACCAGTCATCACCACAACTGAATCATCTCTATTAAAATGTGGAGATCACATGCATGAAACCCAGATTTTTTCATTATAAACATTATTTACTGTTAATGCTTTAGTCCACAGATAAATCAAACTAGCAATCATGGTTTAAAATTCCCCAACTAACTTTTTTAGAAAAATTAAAATAACTGCTCTTAAGTAAATATCTTAGCATACTCCGAAAGCAAATAATTTTATCAAATTTTGATGCTGAATTTGTAATTCTTGCTTTTTAAAATTTCAGAATCAAAGCCATGTTGGTAGCAAACATTCTCTCATTAGTTGGAGCTCTCTTGATGGGGTTTTCAAAACTGGGACCATCTCACATTCTTATAATTTCAGGAAGAAGCATATCAGGACTCTACTGTGGTAAGTCATCCATGCACACACGCGTGCACACATGCGTGCACGCACGCGCACACACACACACACTTGTCTTAAAATCATTCTAAAGGCAGATATGGTAACATGCAGGGAAGTTTTCAAGCCGGAGGTGGCATCATGAAAGGGAAAGGCAATAGCATAAAATTGAAGTCCTGAATCAGGGAGGTTTGGGACCCATAAGTGGGAGTTGTGAAACTATCTTCTTGCTCATGGCAATTTCCAGTGGTATAATCGAAGATAAATTATTTAACTCATAGCTTCCTGATCTGTTAAATGAAGGAGATAGTATGTACGATGTAGGGCACTTGTGAGAATACATGTAAAATGTTCAGCATAGAATCTGCCTATAGTAAGCTGCCGAGAAAAGCCAGCTGTTGTGATTGCTCCTGCTCTGCAGTAGACAATGGCACACTGCTACACCCAGAACCTCCAACTTGGCTCTTATGGCCTACTTGGCCACCTAGGTCTCTGTCTTTCCTTTCTCGAAAGACCTTGACATGCAAGCCCATCTCTCAGACCACATTCCCTTAGTGGTTGGATTTCAGATGTGGCTGGGTGAAGCATTACAGTGGCAGTGACCGCAGGGAGAGGGAGTCAGGCAGGAGCAGCTGGTAGAGGAGTTCATAATGGACAAAGGATGCGCCCCTTTCGAACCTCACATCTGAATATCTGTAATCACTAGTTCTGGGGAAGGGAAGGAGGGAGGGAGGGAGGGAAGGAAGGAATTGAGCCCCTCATCGGGCTCCGTGCTCTGCGGGAAGCCTGCTTCTCCCTCTCCCACTCCCCCTGCTTGTGTTCCCTCTCTCACTGTGTCTCTCTCTGTCAAATAAATAAATAAAATCTTTTTATTTATTTTCAAACTTTTCAAAGTTTTGGAAGTTTCAAAGTTTCAGAAGCAAATTTAATCAGCAGAGTTCTGAACAAAGGGAGGATCACTTCATCTCTAAAATAGCCAAATCTTTAGCTTCTCAATGCCAGTGAAGCCCTGATTCTGATGGTTTGGAGTCAAGGTTTTAACCCATTGTCCCAAATCATAGAGCTGTCTTTCAAAGCACTAATATCCACTGGGGCCAGGGGAGGGTGCGAGAGCACAAAATGATGTATAAAATGTTTATAGTTTTTACTTGCAAAGAGAAAAGACTATAGCTTCATGTGTCTTCAATGATCCCCTGAAACAAAAGTCCAAAATACCCACAAGTTAATAACTTAATTAAAAGTCTCTTTTCATTGTTTTCAATGTTAATACAAATAGCTGAAAGTTAGGATAGCTTTATCAAGGTGAAGAGGCAACCCACATGTGGAGAGATTTAGATTCAGAATGAATTAATTCTGGCACTGTGTCTGCCTGGCCTTAGATATATTAACTGGATGTTCTGTAAAATGCAAAGAATAACATTATCAAGGAGTTCCAAATCATGATTCTTCTTTCTTCTTTCTCCATTTTAAAAAATACAGTATGAAAAAAAATCACGAATATTTTTGGGAAAATTGAAAAATGCTATAAACATTGTGGAGCAACCTATCACTAGCATAGCGAAGTAACTTGTACTCCCCAATTATCTTTTAAAATTATGCCTGGTCCTGTTCTGAGCATTAAAATTGCTAAAAATTATAGGAAATATATTTTGACTTTACATTTGTGTGAACTCAGACCTGTGAGCTTATCTACATTATTATGTTCTTGAGCTACAATAGGAGGTATTACACAGAGAGTACAGCCTGGAAAAGGGACAAATAAATGGGCTTTTTTTTTTAAGATTTTATTTATTTATTTGACAGAGAGAGACACAATGAGAGAGGGAACACAAGCAGGGGGAGTGGGAGAGGGAGACGCAGGCTCCCCACTGAGCAGGGAGCCCGATGTGGGGCTCAATCCCAGGACCCTGGGATCATGACCGGAGCCGAAGGCAGATGCTTAATGACTGAGCCACCCAGGTGCCCTAAATGGGCTTTTTCTTATTTAAGTTCAATAGACCACACATTAGAGTCACATGTAAATGTCAGCCAAAATTCAGATGCCATATCAATCATGCAACTGTTCATGAGAGATATTAAGAACAATTTAAAGCATTAAAAACATATTGAAAGAGTTCCCAAATTCATCTTTTACACAAAACCATATATCTTCATTTCATAGACAAACTCACTAAGAGGAAGACTCTAACAAGTCTTATTTTTAAATTCTCAAGAAAATGCTAAACATTGCATTCAACCTTGCTTGTTGATAGTTTCTAACCTTTTTATGCACTCAGCAAATGGCTGGATACTCCACCATTTCCAACATGACTGAGTACATCTGTGTTTAAGAAAGCTATAGAAGGCAGAATTGCCTAGGGCTTTTCAATTTTTTGGTATTCCTTTCAGCACCAAAATCTTTTCTGAAGCCCATTGTTAGGAGAGAATAAAGAAGAAGCTGGGGTGCCCTGGGTGGAGTAATTGAGGGAAGAGCCCCTGAATTCCTTAACCTCTTCCACCTGTCCACACCTCCCTCACCACTTTAACAGTGATCTTGAGGTACTTTCACATTGTGGAGACTCAGGGCTTGTAGTTCTCATGCTAAAGCTCTATTGCACTATGATCTTGGATAAACTGTTTCTCACCTCTATCAAGTAAAGAGATTGGCCTAGATATGTTCTAATTTCCTTTAATACTATGAGTTTAGATCAAGAATATTATTAAAGCATTCTTCAGTCTCTTTTCTGAAGACAACTTGAGGCATTATGATGTAAAGTCAATTTTAACAAGGTTTTAACTAAATAAGGCAATGCCATGAATAATTGCCAAATCTATGACTAACCATTTCTTTTTATTCCTATATCCAACTACAACTTCAATTGAGTCTTATCAACAAATATTCTTTGCATAAACTGTGTCTATGACTGGGGACAAGGGGCCTTCCAACAGACTCTGAAAGGACCTTTTAGTCAGGGTATTGACTATACTTAAACCAAATTATTGTTATTGAGATAGTTCCTGGCTGCACTTTCACATTTATCTTCATGTTTTATGCAGGACTAATTTCAGGCTTGGTTCCAATGTACATTGGTGAAATTGCTCCAACCACACTCAGGGGTGCTCTTGGCACACTTCACCAGCTGGCCATTGTCACGGGCATTCTTATTAGTCAGGTAAAAACTCCCATCCCCTACTTCACCCATCCTCTACTTTATCCAGCTTCTCCCTCCCTGATAGACCAACACAGCGGAAAAAACTAGTTCCACCATTGGGAGTGAGGATGCTATAGAGACTTAGGCTTTTTAGCTCAAAGCTAAATTATTACTGCTCCACTCACTTCTCCCCTTGGATCTGTTATTAGGCTTAGGCTTTTTAGCTCAAAGCTAAATTATTACTGCTCCACTCACTTCTCCCCTTGGATCTGTGGTATGGTTGGCACTAGAGATGACCCAACATGCCAGGTCTTGAACTTCTGTAGCTAGTCTAGAATTAAATTATTCTGTTCAGATTTCAAAGAATTAGAAACTTCACATTTTTAACTGCTGGATTTCCTTTGTTTTGAGCATCTTACCTGGACAATTAATATGTGTATGATTACCATAGCAGTTTTTTGTTCAGCTGGCTCTATCCTTCCCTTCCAACCCATGGACTCAGAGTCCTCAGAACCCCTAACTTAGGATTATCCAGAGGATAAACCACTGCAATAACGATGATAAATCTGGGTCTTATTATAATGATTGTTCTATCTATATAATCCCATTTTATTTTTCTGGGTAATCTAAGGAGAAATTTTTTAGGGTCCAAAGTTACACATGATTTTTGGTGTTGCTTTAGATGTCAAATGTGTTCTTAAAAGTTTGGTTGTTTCCCATCCTAAATGGCCCATATGCGTTAATGAAAACAAATTTAAGTGAACTCTTTGTAAAACAAATAGTCCCAAATTTAGTTAAGTAATACACAATAGTAATAGTTTCTGCTTTGGGCATACTTGAATCAAAGTTGTCAGGGATTACTATTAAATAACCAATGTACTTTTTCAACAAATGGTTACAGAAGGCAAACCCAAAGTGTTGTGCAGTTGCCATGCTTCCTCCTGCCTTTTCAGATTGTTGGCCTCAACTTTATCCTGGGCAATCATGAGCGGTGGCATATCCTGCTTGGTTTGTCTGCTGTGCGAGCCATCATCCAGTCTCTGCTGCTCTTCTTCTGTCCAGAAAGCCCCAGGTACCTTTACATCAAGTTGGATGAAGAAGTCAAAGCAAAGAAAAGTAAGCCTGTGGATGGTTTTCTTTCTTCCTATTGTTTTGGAACTATCAGCTAATGAAAAACAGTGTGCAAGAATGTTTACTGGTCAAGTTGGTATGAGCGCTTTCCAAATGAAGTTAATGATTACATGTAAGAAGAATGTGCAAGATCACTTCAATATGACTCACGCATGCCATTTCAAACCCATAAACACTTGATCCCAAATGGGAAACCCATGTGCAGGGGATTGGACTCAACCAGAGGCTTCTAAAAGACCTTTACCTGCATTATGCTTCTATGATAACAAAGATCATAGTTTTCTTTGTCATTAGATAAAGCCAAATGTTTTTCTCAAAATTTAAAAACAGGATTTAATTTAACAAAAAGAATTGCCAACACTCATGCTGTAAAGCAATAGAAAGGGCTATGCAGAACTATAGCTCTTTCATTAACATAATAAAAATAAATTTGCTTTTGTTTTGACCTGAGTTTATCAATCTGATCATTTTGTGGGCAGGCCTGAAAAGACTCAGAGGAGGTATTGATGTCACCAAAGACATCAATGAGATGAGAAAGGAAAAAGAAGAAGCATCCAGTGAACAGAAAGTCTCCATAATTCAGCTCTTCACCAACTCCAGCTACCGACAGCCTATTCTAGTTGCACTGATGCTGCATGTGGCTCAGCAATTTTCTGGAATCAATGGGGTAAGTTTAAGAATACTCTCTAACTCCCTAAAATAGGAAAAGAAAGGGGTATAAATTTTTTTTTGTATTAGAATTTCTTGAGTTATTTATTTACTTCATTAGTTCAGTTAGCCACTGTATAGTACATCGTTAGTTTTTGATGTAGTGTTCAATGATTCATTAGTTACGTATAATATCCAGAAATCAGAGAGGGAGACGAACCATAAGAGACTCTGGACCCTGGGAAAGGGGTATAAATTTAAATAACTAAAGGCATTTTAAAATGTTGACATCATGTTTTACTACAATAAACATATACTGAGCATTAATTGTCTTTGTTTTGCCTCATCTGCTTTCTAAAATTGGATTAGAATTTTTAAAAAATGTCAACAATCAATGACACTGTGTCTATTAAGATGGAAGGTAAAAAGCAAAAATCATAATTAATACAAAAGAGGGAAAAGGAGAATAATTATACCAAAAAAAAAAAAAACCCTTAAATTAAGGGGCTTCTAGAGTTGAATAGCAAATTTAGGATTCCTGATAGTCCAGGCAAAAGGAGTCCATGGTTCCCTTTATCTATGTATCTTTATTATTTTTTTTAAAGATTTTCTTTCTTTTAGACAGAGAGAGAGCATGGAGGGGGCAGAAGGAGAGGGACAAGGAGGCTGTTGAGCGGGGAGCCCGACGCGGGGCTCAATCCTAGGACCCTGGGATCATGACCTAAGCTGAAGGCAGACGCTTAATCCACTGAGCCACCCAGGCACCCACCTCCCTTTACCTATTTAAATGAAGTATACCAGGGGCACCTGAGTGGCTCAGTTGGTTGAGCATCAGACTCTTGATCTTGATCTTGGGACTGTGGATTCAGGCCCTACGCTGGTCTCTGTGTTGGGTTCTGCACTGGGTGTGAAACCTACTTATAAACAAACAAACAAACAAAACAAAACAAAATCAAACCAAATGGCCAGGTGCAGAGAAGTTTCCAGCCATGCAAGAAATTTTCATTCTAGGGGTGCCTGAGTGGCTCAGTCATTAAGCGTCTGCCTTTGGACTCCCCGCTTGGCAGGAAGCCTGCTTCTCCTTCTCCCACTCCCCCTACTTGTGCTCCCTCTCTCTCTGTGTCTCTCTCTGTCAAATAAATACATAAAATCTTTAAAAAAAAAAAAAGAAAAGAAATTTTCACTCTATTTGGGGAGCCAGCATACAAAAGAAACAATAGTGTGAACTGGCATGACATTGGTGAATGAGGCAGTAGACAAGACATGATTAAGAAACATACTGAATGTTAAACTAGCTAGTTTTTAGGTTTTGAACTGAAATCACCGCATTACACAGACTAAAACTGTTCTACTGGCAATTAGCTACCAGAAGAAAAAAAGTAAGCATTTGCTAAAAAAAATAGATTTAAAAAATCACTTATCCTCTTTTACTGCTGTTAAAAATGTGGTTTGGGCTTCCTCTATTATGAGCTAATTACATATCCATAAGGGGGTGGCTTGTGGATGGGCAGAGTCTTGGGAGAGGTAAAGAAAGTAATTCTCATCTGTTGAGACAAAAGGAGACCTGGACCTCACTCACCAAGGTGAATACTGCTCTTCTGTCATCTCTATCCTCCTTTAAATGGTTCCTTGCTGTCCATTTTAATCTAATACTCTATATAACTTTGGGGTTTGGAGACCAAATTTGTATCCATTTTCTCAGCTCTGCCTGTATATCCAAAGGAACAATACTTAGTCTTTCTGAACCTCCCTGCTTTAGCTACTATCCCAGTGCCTGACTTAGAGGCATCCAGGAGATGTTGAACTGAGGCTGTTGGGCAGCCTAAAAATGTGGGATAGTGTGCAGTGTGCTATAAGCTACTCCTCTCTGAGCACAGTCTGTACCATCCTTCTCCATTAGCCCTATCTGCAGGAAGAGGTGCCAGCAACAGGACGTGTTAAATGGGGAAGGAATGAGAGAGGATGAGAGAATGACAGAATGGCCTTAAAAAGACCATTATAAACGTAAAAACATAATTAATAATAAAGGCCATTAGAGAGATTTTGAAGATTTCTCCATGTCTACAGAGATTAGTGAAAAATTTTGGATTAAAAGCAATAGCAACCAGAATTCTTATACATGCTGGCAAGAGTGTCAATTGACACCACTTTTCTGGAAAACCATTTGCCATATCTATCCAAGTTGAGCATATGCATACACTATGATCTAGTAATTCTATTCCTAGATGTAAATGTGTACATATTTCACCACAAGGATTATACTAGAATGTTCATAACAGCACCTTTCATATTCACCCAAATGACAACTACCTAAATACCCATCAGTAGTAGATTGGATAATAGTGGTATATTAATACAAAAAAATGCTAAGCAATGAAAACGAACAGTGTACAAATACACACAACTATATAGATAATTCTCACAAAGGTAATGTCGAAGCCAGATACCAAATAATTCACACTGTGTGGTTCCATTTATAGCAAGTACAAAACTAGGCAAAATTTATCATGATGTTAGAGGTTGAAGAGCTTCCTTGGAAAAATAGGGGGATATTCTGGAGGGTTCTGGAAGACTGGAAATTATTTATTTCTTGATCTGTGTGCTGGTTACACAGGTGTGTTCAGTTTGTAAAAATTAATCCGTATACTTATGTTGTGTGTACTTTTTTGTATGTATTTTATACCTTAACAAAAAGTTTAAAAATTAAAAAATACATATCAAGATAATGCAGACTCAGAGTTTTCAGCTAAATTTAAGGAGAACTTTAATCAGAAGTTTCAAACACTAAAGGTTGATAGTGGTTTCTCATTGCCTGGAAGAAGAGGACAGATAAAATGTTTAGGGCATTCTAGGGACCATGGTTCCATAGAAACTACTAAAAATAAACAACCTAAAATATTTCTTGCTTTCAAGCTACCAGTGCTAGGATTCTTGATTAAAGCTAAATTGTTATTACTTTACAGATCTTTTACTACTCAACCAGCATTTTTCAGACAGCTGGAATCAGCCAACCTGTTTATGCAACCATTGGAGTTGGTGCCATCAACATGGTTTTCACCGCTCTTTCTGTGAGTTAATACCCTAGATAAAATAGGCTACTTGTTCCTCAGTTCAGAAATGGGGGAGAGGGGTACCTTGTGATCTAAAAGCAACCGGTGTTTTATTGCTCATATGTATTGGGTGTATAGAACCAAGTGGGTCACGGGAAGAGTCCTATATGCAAATAACAAACTACTAGGCATGGCTGAACAAGTGGATCACTGGTTGTCCCCATTTGCTGGGATGTCATTTAGCCACTCATTTGTGAATTAATAACTTACTTGGGGGCACAGAGGACTTCTTCCTTGTGTAAATAGATGGATTCCTTTTCCTTTGCTCTGTACTTGAATCTGTTGGGATCAGGTGACTACTTGTCATTCCTACCAATATTGGGTCTACTACCTAGTTTCCTCTCTTTCCACGGTTGAAATCCTTTTTTTATCCTGATGTCTTGGCAAAAACACTTTAAAAAAAAATAAAGTCTTCTGTAACATATCTATGCCCGTGACAGGGTTAAATAGACTCAGCAAATTCTTATGATATTAGGTTAATGGACAGAGCTTCCAGAGAGCTCACAAGGCCATAACTTCTGATGCTGCATTAAAGTGTGTGTGTATTATGAGATGGAGTAGAAGTGGTATAATTTGAAATGTTATTAGTTTTGAAATGTTATTTTTTTTCTGACAAGGGTAAAAGTCATATAGTCTTTTCAAGACTGAATACCTTATATAATGAATGATTCAGTATCTTGACAATATTTAACATAAATAAGAATTAAAGTAAACAAACAACACACACAAAAAACCCCTAAAACTTCCCAACTCATGTAATTCACCCTAAAATGAGGATAATTGGGCTTATTTTTATCTTTGAATGCAGGATATTCAAAAAGCTTGTGCTTTTAAATGTTGGTCACCATGTTATATTCAACATACTTCAGTGACTTGTTTTTCATTCTCTGCACATGGACTTTTAACTATTACCTTAGGGTGGTCAATAAATTACAGCCTAGCTACCTAGATCAAAAAGCAGATTTGTCCAAACTACATTAAACAGTGCTGGACCTTGGAAAGAGGAGGGAGAACAGATAACAAGGGAACACCAGCGGTTCTGTAGACATGCCTTTAGAGATAATTCCGGTTCAAGCCAAAAGGCCACTCAAAATCGACGAAGGCCTGCTACTGGGATGTAATCCAAGGGCTACTCACATTCTTTTGTCTCCTGAGATATATTTTTTACAAATCCTACTTCAACATATTTTTCTAATATAGAAATTATGCTTAAAACATTTTATATATAACAGGATTTGCTGTGTAAAGCGACAAGTTGTCAAAATTGGGTAACCCAAATTCTAAACGCCTATAAAGGAAATTACTGCAGAATTTCATTTTTGCACCCCTCCCCACCAACCCAGCTGGAGTAGGAGTAGTTGTTTTGAAAAGTTTCTTGATTATTTTGAATATGCCCTTTTAGAGTTTATCCTTTTATTCTGTGAAAGTTTTTGAACAGATGAGTGACATTTTAAATGTCAGCTCTAATCATCTGTCTGACTCTCCAGGGCTACAGATAACATTTAAGATTTTTAATTATATTTATTTTTGAAAAGTTGTTTTAAGGATCAAAAAGTACAAAAAGCATAGTCCTTCAGTCACACAATTCCTCTCCCCTAAATTAACCAATGTTATTGAATTCTGTGTATCTTTTCAAATAAAGATATACAAATAGGAATATGCACTGATAGGTATTAAATGTTTCACCAACTTGGAAGGGACATAACCAATTTTTTTTTTTTTGAATGAGTATTTGGGAAAAGAAAGACTTTCCTAACTCCACGCTGAATTATGTTTCCACATTCCATATTTTCTCCCACACTAATGGGTTGGTAGAAGAGGGCCTGTAAACTTGAGAGAAAACAAAACAGGAAGAAATGGGGAGGGAATGGGGACACAGATGGGTCTAGAGGAGAAGCAGTGGCATCCAGGATCTGCATGACGCACACTGTCTTGGGCAAAGACAAGGGTTCTAGGTCAGGCAGACATCTCCATCATCAAGGAGTGAGTTCATAATTTATTATCCTATTAGTAACAATTGTTCAGAAACAGAAAAAACATAGTAAAAGCCCTCATTCCTGAAGAAATGCTTCTATTTTCTTGATAGCTTGACACAGTGTCATCAAGTCAACTTGGAAAGTCATAGAGTCAAATTATATAGATAAATGTTATGAACTTGGGCACGAGGTGTTTTTCATACTACCTTCTCAACAGTAAGTGTGGGCTCTTTGCTCATCATCCTGAAGTGATCTGAAATCCGAATATGAATTGCCTCTGAAATGAAAGGGGCTTTCACTATAGGTGAAAACAAATGTTTCTCAGATATTCTCAGAGCCAGAGCTCAAGGGTATTGAATTGCTGTTGATTCACTGATAGATTTGTGAGCCAAGCCAATTTACTCATTGAAGTGAGAAATTATGACATAATTTTTGTGTGTGATTCACCAACCTTGGCAATATCCCAAGGATAGTCCCAAAAAGAGTCTATATAAACAAATATTTGTAATAATAATTGAAAAAATAATTGTAAATGTTAAACATTAATGCAAAGGTCCACAGACCCCAAGGTATCAATGACCTATCTCCTAAATTAGGATAAGAAAGCACTTTAAGCTTTTGCTTTAAAGTCTTATCTTTTCAAATGGATAATTCACTTCCAGCACCAAATACACTTTAGGCACACCAGAAAAATGCAGATCTGACTATTTGGTAAAGTGATCAAATTCTGTAGGTTGCCAGATTTTAATTTGACTTTTTTAGCAGTGAGAAAGTTAGATGAGAACGGTTGACAACGCAACAGTTACACTATTTCACGTTGTCTGCTGTGCACAAAACCTTGTACTTAGAACAGGATAATTATCAAAAGATAAATTAATGTCCTTTTTAATAGAGCCATTTTAAATGTACAAGAAATCTACTGGAAGAGATCCAAGACGTACAGCCTCTTAATACTATACTCAAGTGATAATTGCAGAGTGATGGCTCTTTGTCCAGAATGGCCTATTCAAATCACTGTGACTAAATGAAGCAGGTATCTGTTAATTACTTCTGCTCACTGAGACCAGTTCTGCCACCTGAGGCAAGAGTCACCCCCCAACTCAGTTCCACATCTGTAAAACGGGATTATAGAACTGCCTCCTTCCAGCTGTATAAATTAAAATTACCTCTTCGGCAGTAAAAACTAAGTCAGTATGTTTTAAAAACTTTCCTAGGTATTCCTTGTGGAGAAGGCAGGGCGACGCTCTCTGTTTCTAATAGGAATGAGTGGGATGTTTGTCTGTGCCATCTTCATGTCTGTGGGACTTATATTACTGGTAAGTGTAGATTTTTGCACTGAGATTTTTGGTTACCATATGATAGCACTTCTGTGTTCCAGGCTAGAGTGCTCTGTATGTCAAAACATTTGAGACTGACTTATAAAATAAAGCCAGAGGAACAGCATAGAATACAAGGGAGAAATGTAAAGTAAAGGGGGACTAGCTTTTGGGGTTTAAAGACTTAAATGTCACAAGCGAATTGCACTTGTTACCAAGGGAGGCAGTGTCGCCAAATGGTCAGAGCATAGTCTCTGGGGTCAGCCCCGCTCAGGTTCTAACACTGGCTCTGCCATTTGGCTACCTATGTGACCTAGGGCAAGTACCAGAACCTCTCCAACCCAGCATCCTCATCCACTACTTCATGGAGGGTAAGGCATCTTGTCTAGCCATCTTGGTATGAATAGGAGCAAAGCTCATAGACTCTTGCCTTGCTTCTATCACAGGAGAAGAATGACTGAGAATCAAAGTCCTAATCCAGAGGATTTCCTAATAACAGGGTTCAAAAGATCTAAGCGTGACTGAGACCAGAATAAACCTGTCTCAAACCAGAATAATCTGTAGTTATCTGCACATAAACCTATCAGGCAGAGAGCCGCATCACCTCTGAACTCAGTGAGAGCCCACTTAGCTAAAGGAAGCAGCAGCCAATAATCCCAACCCCACTTTTGTTTTCGTTTTGTTTTTTCCTCAGGATAAACTGGCGTGGATGAGTTATGTAAGCATGGTAGCCATCTTCCTCTTTGTCAGTTTCTTCGAGATTGGGCCTGGCCCCATCCCCTGGTTCATGGTGGCAGAGTTCTTCAGTCAAGGACCCCGGCCTGCTGCTTTAGCAATAGCTGCATTTAGCAACTGGACCTGCAATTTCATTGTAGCTCTGTGTTTCCAGTACGTTGCGGTAAGCAGCCTAATATTGTGCAAATTTGCTGAACAGAGATGGAGGAAAACAGCTGCTAATTGGAACTCTGTTTGTTTCTATGCAGAACTTCTGTGGACCTTATGTGTTTTTCCTCTTTGCTGGAGTGGTCCTGGCCTTTACTCTGTTTACATTTTTCAAAGTCCCAGAAACCAAAGGAAAGTCCTTTGAGGAAATCGCAGCAGAATTCCGAAAGAAGAGAAGCTTGGCCCAAGCACCAAAAGCTGCCGTGGAAATGGAATTCCTTGGAGCTACAGAGACTGTGTAAAGATAACCTGCTTTTTTGACAAGAACAGAAACAGGAAGGAAGTTGTGTGTTTTTAATTGACGATTCTTTGAGAATTTTATATCTACGTCTTGAAGTATTATTTTATTTTTTAGAGAGTTTTTATGGGCTTTTCTCAGAAATGTCATCCAAAATTACCAAAGAAAGTATTTTTTTAAGTTAAGCATCTATTTTTGATAGTAAGACTCTCTAATTAAGTAAACCAAAAAGTCTAGCTCAATTTACTACACCAAAGGGCAAGTACATTGTAATGTTCCTAGCTCTATTCTTTATAATGAGGTTCTCCTAAAACGGAAGCAGTGTCAATGTATCATGTTATTGCTTCATTAAGCATGTGACTGGAAACCTGGAGCTGCAGCTCATTTACATATTTGAATATGATTATGTTGGCATTTTCTTACCCACAGACCTCATACTAAAGGAGCTTTGGCTAGTGGTAATAAAATGTCCATGTTAAAATGGATACTTTTCTATTGCTCCCATTCAGCTTTTTTCTTTCTTAGAATTTATATTTTGTTTAAAATTTTATTTTTTCTGTATTTTCACATGGAATGGTTTATTGAGTATATTAAGATATGTTCATAAAAAAAAACTTTTATTTTTGGTAGGCTTACCAAAACTTTGGTACTCAGAAAAAAAAAAATTAGTTCCTTTGCTTGATAACCAAATGATTTTTATAAGATTAAACACTGAAAAGATTTTACCGGTCATATAGCCTGGGTTATCAGTTAATATTAGTATCTGTTATAAACCTATGTTAATTCCTTGCTAGTTCAGTCCTTTGAGCTCTATTTTGGTTTGCTTTTAAATTGAGCACAGCCTGGTTTTCTCAGCTGTATTTTTTATAAAGTACATTCAAACAGTGATGAAAGTGGACATTTTTATATCTCCTCAAACCCTAAATAAATTAGAGCAGTCTAATGGAAATTTGAAATAAAGGATTGCTCTGTTTGTTAAAACATATTTTCTGTATTATGTTTGAAGACAAGTTGAAAGAGTAGGATTGAAGGAATCCTAAAGGTGTGCTCCTGAAACTTCATGAATGCTCAGTTTCAGACTTTATCAAAATCCCTATTTACTTTTATGGTTAGATAGTCATCCCCTTTGACGTTCCTTCTTTGTCACAGCAGTATACAGATGCTATCTAAGCCATTCTATTGCTATTGCTAACATTTCCTATGTACTATCTATGTGCCAGGCACTGTTCTAAGTGCTTTTACCTCTGTAGGCAAATTGGAAATGCACAGATGATTAAACAGACTTTCACTTATAGTCAATTTTACAACTATGGAAATACATTTCTGATGGATACCAAAGGCTTAGCAGGGAGCTAAACTATCTCCAAGATGTTTTCCCCACAAAGTGGAGCACTGAGTCAATCCTTTTCATGTTTGCTTTAATGTGCATAAAAGAAAGGCACTTTTTTAAAACTACTTTTTATGAGTGGAGGGGCAAAAATGCTTAACATTTGTTTTTGTTTTTTTTCCCTAGAGTTGTTTACCTTTATATAATTTGGCAGTCCAGACAACATAAAATTATTTCTTTTCACTTTGCTTTTTATTCCCTTTGGACCAATTTGGAATAAATTATTTTTACTTAGGACTTCAGGACACAGTTAAAGTGAGCTTAAATAGTTCAAAAGACTTTTGTGCTAGCTTGTGAACTCTAGAAAAATTGTGGGGACTCTGAATTGGGCAAGAGCAGGAGAATGGCTCCTGTGTGGCTCTTGTCCTCTTCTTCAGGATGCTGGTGGTCTTTGAGAAGCCCAAAGTTACAATGATAAAGAAGTTTAACATTTTTATACGTGATGAATGTTATTTAATCAAATTGCTATTCCTGATCTCATTTACTAAGAAAATAAAGTAGTAAATGTTTAAATAAAGAACCCAAAAGACCACTTTTAAGTTCTAATTACTTATTTCGACTAAAGCATAAACACCAGAAATTCATAACCCAGAGTTCTCTGCCTCAGAGAAATTGAACTAATTTACATGATTTCCCTTCCATATTTTTTTCCTTGCCAAGATACAAATGAGTTGAAAAGAAACCTTAAGGTGAAGTAAGAAGCTGTTGAAGATTTATAGGACAAAGGAACTAGCTTAACGTAATAGAAGCTCCCTGGTCTTCAATTTCATACATCATAATAAATAATAAAATTGGCACTGGTTAATTAGATGTAATCATAGGGAAATTAGATGTGAGTTTGAACATTTAATTTTCATAGTACTCTATCATTTTTGTGGAAGTCTTTTCACACTCTAATGTCCTAACAAATGTGATTTTTCTTAGCTTGTTCCAAGCATTACAATTCTTGGTCTGGCCACTCACCTGCTACACCTAGCTATTGCCCACTGTCATGACACCCAGTGAAAGGGTCTTCTCTAACTTTCTCCTCCATGTAATCAGCACTGTGATGGCACTGAGATACGCTAAGACTCTGCCCCCTTCCTCCTCAAGGAGCTCACAGTCTAATAAGCAGTTCAGGAAGACCAGGATATGAATGTCCCCATGTGTGCCTTTTGCCATCCATTGAAACTTGATTTGGAGACCTTGTAAAATGGGCACAGTAATATTACCTACCTCAGAGCATTGTAAGGATTAAATGTACAGTGTTAAGCAGAGTTCCTGGTACAAAGGAGGTACTCAATAAATGTTACCTGGAATTAGTATTCACAAAGATACTGCTAAAATAAAAGTTTGTCATATATATTGATGGTTCCAAATTTTTCTTTTCTAAATTTTTTTTATTTTTTCCAAATTTCTTTTGAGTACAAGAAATTTTATAAATTCAAGATAATATTTTCTTATTTCAAGCAACAATTTCACAGTGACAAGGGAATGGTAAAAAATAAGGGAGATTTTAGGCTATCTAATTCCTAAACCCAAACTTGATATTTGTAAGTTGGTTTTGAGTTTTTATTGTATTTTTAAAGTTTGCTTTTGTCTAAGTTATGTTATTTTTAAAAGGTTGCTATGTAATATTATTTCTTGAATAATACTAAGTACAGAGTAAAATGCTGTATATTTAAATGCAATTCCACAAGATTATAATCATAGGACAACACCAAACTTTCTTGATAATCCTGAAAAACTGCAGAAGTGCTTTATACATGTAAACCAGTTTACATGCAAAAGCTACTTCTTGCTAGATTATAGCATATGCAGCAAATAAGGCAATGTTAGGCAATTATTTTGTGCTTATGGTATCCTAAATAGAGGTGCTGAGTAAAGCGCAAAAGAATGTATAATTTTTCATTACAATTCTATCAGTGACCTGAGAAGAAAAGGTTTGTTGCCAACCACTCTGACCCATCTGCTGGTGTTTTTACTGCTTTCTAATTTGGTGCACATTAGAAAGGATCATCATGAAAATACACTGGTTTTAGTTACGGGTATATATACACTACAGTTTTATGTCAATAAATACATTTCTGAATGCTTAAGTGTTGCTTTATTTTATATAAAAAATAATCACATTTAAGAAAACAAATTTGGTTTACTATAATATATCCTTGTTTCTTTCTTACAATGTTGTTTCTATTCTCATTTTAAAGATAATACGTGAGTTACTTTTTAAATTCAAATTTTATTTCCATCAGGCAGTTGTTCTGATTATCAAGAGTAGGAAAAACTAAACTGAAGTCTAAGTAAAAACAAATGACTCCCTTTGATAAAATAAAAATAATTTCTTCAGTAAATATTTAGTTGAGCTCCCACTGTGAATAAGACACTTGGTTAAAATTTTGTGAAAGACACAAAACTTAGAAAACATGGTCCATATCCTCAGTCACTTGCATTCTCATAAAAGGGTTAAAAGTTTAAAACAAATAGTTACAGTATGAAGGAGAAAATAGAAAAAAACTATAGTGGTTTTTAAGTTGACCTTTAAGTATGCTGCAAGGATGTGATTTTTTAAAAATATAGTATATACTGATATTTAAAAATTGTTGTGCTCTATTTATCCAATGGACTTTAAATACCATAGTAATTTGTTACCACAACCATTAAAATATATATAAATACATATATATATACACATATATTTTAGCAGTTGGAAATTTTACTGCATTCTTCTCTATTCTCATATTTCCTTTTCATTTCTCCCAAAGAATTTTATCCCAAATAACAAATTTAAATGCTTTTAAAACAACTTTTTGATGATTCTATTATGAGTATCTATAATTTGAATTTTTATGTTTAAAAATGTACCATGTCAAAAAGGTCAAAATGTTTAACATTTTTTTCTGGATTGAGTTAGCATTTATGATTATTAGTAGTACACAAATGATGAAAAAATCTGTATTGCAGATTTTGATAGAATTATTAATTTTTAAAGTCACTATTTTAAATTTCATCTCAGTGAGAAACATGAGTTATTTATTTTTCAATCAATTAAAATATTAATGGATGGCTATTTCTTACTGCTAAAGTTAAAGAGTGCTCAGCATAAATTCTATTATTACACTTTGTTATTATAGATGTATTAAAAAATCTTACTTTCGGGCATGTGGGTGGCTTAGTCAGTTAAGTGTCTGCCTTCAGCTCAGGTCATGATCCCACGGTCCTGGGATGGAGTCCCACATTGGGCTCCCTGCTCAGCAGGGAGTCTGGTTCTCCCCGTCTCCCTTTACCCCTCCCCCTGCTCGTGCTCTGTCAAATAAATAAAATCTTCTAAAAAAAAATCTTATTTTCATAAATAATAGTATAGGAATGGGATATCCTTTCCATAAACTATTTCCAAATCATAGACAAAAAGCACATAACAATTAATCATAAAAATAAATTTGATTTTTTAATAAATTTTAATAATCTATCAGCTAACAACTCCATTGGACACTTCTTCTTTACTTTTGTTGAAATCAAAGAACTTATATTGTGGAAGGATGTGTTATCCAGTTGTTATAATCATTCTTCAGTTAGTTTCTGGGCAGTACACCAAAAAGGTTTTACCAGGACTTAATAAAAGACTATTAATTATACTGCTGAATCTTTCACTTAAAGGTAACTTGCTTAACCTGATATACTGAGAAGGGGTTGGGAGAATTGAAATACTAATTTTACATATTTTCACATATATAATAAAATTCTTCTATTTTATCACATGCCGTATTTTCATCAAACCATCAGAAGTTGGACTTAGCTTGTTAGCTTGCTCATTTCATGGAAAATATCATAAATAACCTAGTGGGCAAATTCAGTCCTCATTGTCAAACTAATTTTCCAAATCAGTTTTACTATCTGACTTAATTTTTCACTTCCAATAATTACCTTAGTACTCATTCTTGTGACCAGCTATCTCATGTTTGAATTCCAGTAATTCCACATGGATACTTGCCATAAGTCTGTCTCCTGCATTTCTAACAGATGCTTTACTTTCTTTACTTTTATGGGTCTTTCCCTCAGGAGCAATACATATTGAAAATAATTGGGTAAGATCTGCTAAACAAAAGTGGTCATTATCCTGTTCTACAAAGCCCGAATTCAAAATATTCTAACTATTTCTTATGCCATCTTAATTAAAGTAGTCTTCATAGGTAACATTATTTCCAAGTATTCCTTTGTTTGGTATCTCTAAAAGTTTAACGCTCTGGGGCAACACACCATGGCGAGAGTCAGGATCCATTGAGAAGGACAACTATGAAAAGTGTTTGGAAAGAAGAACTGGTCTAATGAACATTAGGCACATATTG